GAAGGGAAATTTCCTCGGGCTGTGTCATCTGCCCTGGAACAGGAATTGTTCTCCAAAGGGCACTTTGGAAAACAGACCCAGCCCCGTTTAGGGACCTCAATTCTCTTTGTGCTCCTCTAAGCTGAATGAAATGAGGTTTCAGGGTCCTCAAACAATACAATTAATGCCATTACAACAGAGTGCTTTGCAGTAACGACCTGGCGCTGGAATGGAATTGCCTTTCTGGGGCTAATGGGAATTCTTGCATTTCTAATGGGGCACATTTAGTGCAGACATATGTTTTAGAGGCTCTCTCCCATTTGTAAATATTGCAAGGTGTTTATTCCAGGGGTGGGATGCAGCTTTCCCCACAGCCCAGCTGGTTTTCCTGGTGCTTGTCCAGCAGCGCTTCCCCGGGATCCATTTGTGACTTTTCCAAGCTTTCCCCCCCTCCTGCTGCCCAGAAGCTGGAGGAGGTTTAATAATAGATAATAACTCATGTAGCATTACCATGATTAAGTGCTCCAGCAAAAGCTCTGCCGAGTTCAAATGACCAGAGATGTAAATCCAGAAGGGACAACTCCACTTTTCTCAGCTCACTGCACTGACTTCTCCAAGCATCCACTTTGTCTCCCTCGTACCCTGGGGGTTGTCTCAGAAGTTCTTCTGTTTCTCCTCTAACTGCCCTTCCCTAAAACACACCACGCTCCTCAATTCCATCTCCTGATCCCTCCCCTCAAATAACAGCTCAGCAGGAGTTATTTTGCAGTCTCAGATGAGACCAAAGTCCCTGGTCCTGGGGACATCTCCCCTGTCCCTGTGCTGCCCCAGGGCTGCTCTCCTGTGCCATGTTCTCACCCAAAACAGAGGCTGTCTCCCCATGGGATGGTGCAGCAGGTCCAGGAATAGCCATCAGAACTTGTGTCCCTCCTGCTGGAATTCACAGGAACAAATGCACAGGGACATGGAGTCCTCAGCCGGGTCACTGCTGCTCCTGCTGGTGCTGCTGGATCATGGGACCATGGAATGGTTTGGGTGGGAAGGGACCTTAAAAGCCAGCTCATCCCACGGGCAGGGACACCTTCCACTAGCCCAGGTTGCTCCAACCTGGCCTTGGACACTTCCAGGGATCCAGGGGCAGCCACAGCTTCTCTGGGCAACCTGGGCCAGGGCCTCCCCACCCTCCCAGCCAGGAATTCCTTCCCAAGATCCCATCCAACCCTGCCCTCTGGCAGTGGGAAGCCATTCCCTGTGTCCTGTCCTCCATGCCTTGTCCCCAGTCCCTCTCCAGCTCTCCTGGAGCCCCTTTAGGCCCTGCCAGGGGCTCTCAGCTTTCCCTGGAGCCTTCTCTTCTCCAGGGGAACCCCCCCAGCTCTCCCAGCCTGGCTCCAGAGCAGAGGGGCTCCACCCTGGGAGCATCTCCGTGGCCTCCTCTGGGCTCACTCCAGCAGCTCCCCATGGTTATGTCAGCACGTTCCCAAAACCTGGGATGTATCCATCCATCCCTCCATCCCTCCATCCCATTGCATGGGTAACAGTGGGATCCCCCACACTGGTGTAACCAGTGCAGCCACAGCCACAGTCACAGCATTCAGGAGACCCAAATAAGACTTTCCCTACAGGAACAGCCCAGCCTCCCTAAAATCCCCATTCCTGTCTGGTGATGAGGGAGGACCCTGGAGGACCCTCACTAAACAAAGGCAGAGCCACTCTGCAGTGCCCTTCTCCACTGAGAGTGCCCAGCTGGGCACCTTTGCTGGCTCCCAGCCAGAATTCCCTCCTAAAGGGAAGAGGATTCCCAGGCAAACAGGAGCAAGGGCAGTCTCAGCTAATGGGGGTGAGGCCTTGCAAGTCCCCCAGTCTCAGTGTCATTAGTGAACATGTAGCAAAGCCGAGGAGAAACAATGGACAGGCGGGGCGTGACCTCCTCGTGGAGGCTCAGGATCAGGATAATTAGTGGACTCATTACCCCTTCCCCTGCACAGACCTGTCTCCTTTTCATCCTGTGCCTTGGTACCAAACCAGGCACCTTCTGGTAAAACAAAATGTCAGCAAATAAAGGTCACGAAGCAGGAAAAGCTGCTGCACACTCTGTGAAATCGCTGCCACCCCGAGGTCACCTCAGCACAGCTGCTCCTTTGAGGTGGCTGTTTTATGGGATGTGTGATCTCCAGCCCACTCATCCATCATTCCCAGCTCTCCCACCATCCAGCACCAGCCACATTTGAGCCAACACTGATCACCAGAGGCACAAAGAGACCCTGCCCCTGTAACAGGGAATTTGGGTCCTGCTCACACAGGGGGGTCTCTGGCACAACCCACGGGCTCCTGGAGGAGGAGGTATCCAACAAAACTATGGGAAGCCAAAATCAAGATGTCAAATCACTGGAAGTTATCCTGGTTACAAAGTAAAGGTCAGGCTGTGCTTGCTGGGAGCGTTGTTAATGTAAATCAACCTCTCAGGGCACCGAGGGCTCATCAGATCCTGCTCCTGCAGGGAGTGTGGCTGGAACACGGGATCTGGAGTTTTCCACAGGAGACACAAGGGAGACCTGCTGGGTTACACCAGGTCAGAATGCACAAAGGGAATGCTTGGAAGACAAAGGGGGGTTTTGCTTTGCATTTTTTGATTCATTCAAAGAACCAGCTGCAAATCTTTGCCAGAGGGAACCAGAGCTGGGGCCAAAGTAATCCTGGAATGGTTTGGGTTGGAAAGGACCTCAAAGCCCATCCAGTTCCACTGGACACCTTCCACTAGCCCAGGTTGCTCCAACCTGGCCTTGGACACTTCCAGGGATCCAGGGGCAGCCACAGCTTCTCTGGGAATTCTATTCCAGCCCCTCCCCACCCTCCCAGCCAGGAATTCCTTCCCATCTCATGTGCCCAGCTGGGCTGTAATTAGTGCCCCAATATCCCTTCCCAGGCCCACAGGGACACACCCTGGGCCAACAGTCCTTTGAAGACCAAACTGAAATGTCCTTTTGGCACTTGGGTCCCCCCACGGGGAGGAATTTGCAACCCTTGGTTGTGCTGCACAGAATATCAGACATTTATTAAACATCTGGGGTTGCTGCCCAGCTTTGGGATGACTTTTTCAAGTCTGTACATTGGTGAGAGAGATTTTTTCACACTGAACAGCACTGGGCTGTGAGAGCTGCTGCTTTCCCCTAAATACTGGAAACCAAAGCCAAAAACCCTGAGCAGGTTGAGGTCCCCAAAGCCTTTTTAGGGCTCACCTGTCCAGTGGCTTCACCCACAGCTGAGCTGCTTGGTTTTATTTCCAGCCCATACAGAAGGATTAGACTTAGAAATGGGGGGATGTGTATTTTGGAGCCTCTGAATCATTGTCTGTATCTCTCCAGTGAGAGATTTTGTGTCTTCTTGCCACCTTTCCTCTAAAGGAAGGACAATCAGCAAACCCTTTATATCCATTTCAATAAAATCACCAGCTGGAGACACTGGCAAGGCCATTCCTGAGTTTCTGCTGGAACACCGGGGCCTGTGTGAAGCTGTTGGTCCCAATATCTCAAATATTCACAGTTAAATATGAACCCAGAGGGTAAATGCTCATCCTGTGAGCCTAATGATGCTCCTGGAGAGGGGAGGACTTCCTTGAAGAGTTCCTCCATGGAGCTGTTGGAGCAGGATAATGGCATCTCACAGGCTACAATTAGGGAGGGATGTGGAAAAAGGTGTCAAGGAAAGCAATGAAAAGGGCAATTTATTTCTCCTTTTTCTCTCCACGTCTCCCGTGCTCCCTTTAGGCTCAGGTTTCTTCACAAGCAATTCATTCTTGTGACTTGTCATTTTAACAACTGCTCACACTTTTAGAGGACATTTCCAGGGGAAAGAAACCCATGGAAAAAACTGCTGCAAAGCTGCAGTGGAAAACGGGAAATATTTTACTTTTCTCTCCCTTTATCAGTGGCAGAACCATCTCCTGCCAACCAAACCATCTCTCTGTTATTAAATAACTCATTAAGGGCTCAGACAATCCATGGCCTGCAGGGCTGCTTTGTAGGAGCTGAATTCCATCCCTGTTCATTCCTGTCTCTGGGATGGAGAATCTGACAGGAGTAATTTGAGGGTGAAGGAGGAGAATTCTGTTGTCTGTCATAAACTGTGATTAAGGTTTTACCAACCACCACTGGATCCTTATATTTTTGGGAGAAACACATCCATATATACTTTAACCACCACGAGGGCTCTGTCCTGTGGCACAGGGTGGGAGATGAGCTTTGCTGACCTCCTTTGGTGCCCTGACAAATTCAATGTCCTTAAAGCCTCCTCCTGTTGAGCACAAAGGCCACAAAGCTTTTATTATACCCTTAAAAATGAAAGACACCGTGATGCCTTGTTTTTTTCATATTCTGTACATCCCCTGAGGTTTAAAATTGACTTGTGGATCCCAGTTATTCCAAGTAAACCCCTTTCAGGCTGTTTTCTGAGGAAGTTTCTTATACATGAGCCTTTCCTACCTCTTGCAGGTCAAATGGAGCAAGGCCTCCTCTTACACAGCATCATCTCCCATCTGTCTGGTTCAATGTCAGTCAGAAACTTCAGGTCTTTTTCCAAGTCTTCAGGGGCCCAAGACTGTGGAATTCAATGCAAATGGAAAAGCTCAATTCTCTGGAAAATCATGGACCTCATGGAGCCCCAGCCCCACATCCCTCCTGGCCCCCAGATAACAACCCAATGGTTTGGGTTGGAAGGGACCTTAAAGCCCATCCCATTCCACCCCCTGCCATGGGC